ATGAAGCTTAGTCTGCTGAGCCTGGCAGCTTTGGCTTCCCATTCACTCCAACTTCCTCTTTTCAAACTCCATCCTGAGAGCTGCTCAGCCCTGCCCTCTAGTGGCCAGGTGTAGGAGGGTGTGCCACCCAGTCAGCACTGCTTACCTGTTTGGTCCAGAAGGGGTTAACAGCAGGCAGAGAAGCAGGAAGGGTGCCACCTAGGAGGGAGGGATGGGCTGCCAGAAGCAACACCTGGGTGGGGCAAGGCCCTGATCCAGCCAAAGGCATGGCGCTGCCCAGATAGAGCTTTGGGAGACTCCACCCCTCCCCTGAGCACACCTGGAAGCCCAGAAGGCTCACCTAGCAGCGGTAAAGGGGGCAACTTTCAAGGTATCTCTCTCTTTCCTTTCAACCACCTCTGAACATGAGAGGAGCTGCTTCAGTTGGATCCTTTTTCTGAGGTCAGAATCCAGGGATGCATCTACACCAGGAATGGGCCAACTTGGGCCCTCCAGGTGTTTTGGACTTCAGTTCTCACAATTCCTAACAACCTCAGCTTAAGAGGCTGAGAGGGGAAAGGGAATGGGCCTGAGGCTGTTAGGAATTGTGAGAGTTGAAGTCCAAAACACCTGGAGGGCCCAAGTATTCCTATGCCTGATCTACACTGTGGAATAAATTCAGTCTGGACCACCTCACCTATTATGGCTCAAGGCTATGGATCGTGGGAGTTGTACATTGATGAAGTTTTGAAACTCCCAAGTCTCCATAGCCTTGAGCCATGGCAGGGAAAGTGTGCCAAACTGCATTAATTCGACAGTGCAGATGCAACCCTCCTCTTGACTTTGAGAGAACAAAGTTGGTTGCAGAAGTTCTTTCATAGACTGTAACTTTCAACTTCCTCAGATGAAGGAGGGAGACGAATGATCTATGGAAGCTTCTGATACCAATTCTTCTTTCTCAGTCTCCAAGGTGCTCCAACATCCCTGTATTGGTCCCTTCTCTGGAGAGTTTTTCCAGCAGTGAAGCCTTTCCAGGCCTCGCCTGCTTCCCCTTTCCTTTCTTTCTGGACTTTGTTTTTCCCTGCAAAACTTTCTTTCACCTGAGCCTTTTATTGTTTTTGCTTCATCGTCAATATTTGCTCTGAGGGCTAGGTCTGCTCTGAATGCATCTAGGCAAGGAGGGGCTGCCAGGCTTTACATTCTCCTTCATGCAACACCCTTTATTCACACTGAGATCTTGCCTTTGGACTTCAGGCAGAATATATTATTTGCTTTCTTCCCCCTCTCTGGTGTCTACGCTGTAGAAGTAAGACGGTTTGACACCCCTCTAACGGCCGTGGGCCATTGCTATGGAATCGTGTGGAGGGTTACAAAGTCTTTCGCCTCCTCTGCCAAGGAGTGCTGATGCCTCACCGAGCTACAAAGCCCATATTCCATAATATTGGATCATGATAATGAATATGATGCCAAAACTTCATTCATTCTGCAGGAGAGGCAGTTTCCCCGCCTGGTTAGTTTTCTGAGCTGCTTTGCCTCTTGGACAAAAGATAAAAGTAGGAAGGAACAGCAATATATAGGCAGTTCCCAAGTTACAAACAATATCGGTTCTGTAGGTTTGCTCCTAAGTTGAATTGATGGGTAAGTCAGAACATGTACATTTTTACAGTGTAACTCCAGTCATATATGTGTGTGTATTAACCCTTCCCTATGCTATCCAAAGTGTGTGTGGGGGTGTGTGTATGTGTATATATAGAGGGGGGGTGTCAAAAAGTGTCTTTCACAGCTACTGGACTATCTGTGCACAATATGATAGAGGTAACCTCACTCTCCTGATACAGTCTTTTCTTTTTCCGATTCACTGATTAGAACCATGAATCTGAAGCTAAAAGAGTTGCCATTGAATTTCTGGCAAAAGAAGGTTGTGCACCTAAGGAAATCCATAATGGTTTGAAGAATGCTTATGATTTGGCTCCTTCTGACTTTTACCTTTTTGGACCTCTGAAAGACAACCTATGTCGGATTCAATGACTTGAATGATGTCACAACAGCTTGAAAATAATGGGTCACAAAGCAAAGCCCTGAATTATTCCAAAATGGTTTTGATGCCTGGGCTAAATAATGGCAAAAATGTGTAGAGACTGATGAGGAGCATGTTGAAAGGAAGTTTTGTGTAAAGGATAGTTCAAGCTATGATCTGTAACAACTTCTGCTGTTATATGTTCATTCATAATGTTTTTATGAAACAGGAGAGAAAACCTTTTGACCCACCTCCCTCTGTGTGTGTGTGTGTGTGTGTTCATTCTCTCTCTCTCTCTCTCTCTCTATATATATATACACACACACACACATACAAGCTTTGGATAGCATGGGAAAGGGTTAACATCCTCATGGTATTTGTCTTGCTGCCTGTGCCCCTGTTCAGAAGATCTCCCTTCACTTTCTGTCCCCATGATAATTGGATTTTGAAAAATTTTGTTTGTTGTGGAAACAAGGGTTAGTGATAAAGCTTCAGCTGAGACCTCTTTCCCCCATGATAACTCTCTTTCAGGAGTGAATTTCCCTTCCAAGAGTTAGATTTCTCTCACTTCCTATTGTCTCACCCTTGTTCTTAACTGTGAGTCATATGTAAGTCATATGTTTGTAACTCAGGGTCTGCCTGTACGGTGTGTCTTTGAGAGTCCTTGTGTGCCTTTGAGAGTCATTTCCCACTTATGGTGACCCTATCATGGGGTTTTCCTGGCAAGATTTGTTCAGTGGCAAGATTGGCCTTCCTCTGAGGGTGAGAGTGTGACATGCTCAAGGTCTCCCAGGAGGTTTCTGTGGCAGAGCAGGGATTTGAATCCATCTCCAGAGTCTTAATCCAGTGCTCAAACCACTACCACTCTGGTTCTCATGCCACCTATTACTCAAACATATTTTTATTGCAAGGTCATTGTTCCAGGCATTTTAACATTTTGTTGCCTTTTGTCGCATTTTTTTCGTGAAATATCCTTGTTTTAGGTGTGTTACTAGAACTATATACACACAGCACTCCAGAAATGGTTATTCCGTGAACTTATATAAGGGAAGTAAAGGAGTGGCAGTTTCACTTTCTGTTCTCTTTCTAGTTATGCTGGACTTGGCATTCTCTCTCTCTCTCTCTCTCTCTCTCTCTCTCTCTCTCTCTCTCTGTGTGTGTGTGTGTTTGTTTGTTTCATTATTCACTTTCCAGTGTCGGTTATATCCCTGATATAGTTGGGCACAAGTAACTTATTAATGTAGCCTCTACTAATTAGCTACTTCCAAGGTCTCTTGGACTATAATTGCCATCCTCACCTGATCAAGTGGAGTGAGAGGTGTTGTAACCCAAACATCTTGAGGGCATCCAGTTAGCAATGGCTTCCTTAATCATCTACCTGATTTATTGTTCCTGTTTGTTTAAGTGATAAGAAGTCCCAAGAGCAAAGGCAATTTGCATTTTCTCAAGCGATAGCCAAGAAGGAGGAATTGTGTGGCCATCACCTTTATTATAGTCTAACAGCTACTCTACATCAGACATTTGTCTACTCAGAACTAGTCTCTTCAGACTTCAATGAGTCTACCTCCATAGGTAAGTGATATCGTTATACTGTATAGCAGGGGTCCCCAAACTAAGATCCGGGGGCCGGATACGGCCCTCCTAGGTCATTTACCCGGCCCTCGCTCATAGTCAACCTAAGTCTGAAATGACTTGAAAACACACAGCAACAACAATCCTATCTCATCAGCCAAAAGTAGGCCCACACTTCCCATTGAAATGCTAATAAGTTTATATTTGTTAAAATAGTTCTTCATTTTAACTATTGTATTGTTTTTAAGTGTGTTTTGTTTTTGCATGACAAATAAGATATGTGCAGTGTGCATAGGAATTCATTCATGTTTTTTGCTAATTATAATCTAGCCCTCCAAAAGTTTAAGGGACTGTGACCTGGCCCTCTGTTTAAAAAGTTTGAGTACCCCTGCTGTACAGCCTTACTTTATTCAATGGGGAGCTCTGCAGTGTATCTGTAATATTTAATTTATTTACAAAATTACAAGCAATGTGTAAATTGACTGGGTTGTGGTTGGGAGTCAGCTGCATTAAAATCACTACTGACCGAAGGTCATGAATTCAAAGCCAGCCCAGATTGGAGTAAGCTCCCGACCATTTGTCTAGCTTGCTGTCGACCTTTGCAGGCCGAAAAACAGTTGCATCTGTCAAGTAGGAAATTTAGGTACTGCTTATGTGAGGAGGCTAATTTAACTAATTTGCAACACCATAAAAATATCCAACAACTTGCAAAAGAATGAGGAAGTATTCCACAAATGTCTCACTTCCCAGTATCACAGTAATATTATGTATTTAAGGAGTCCCCGGTGGGTTAAACGGCTGAGCTGCTGAAAGATCAGCTGTTCGAATCCAAGGAGCAGAGTGAGCTCCCACTGTTAGACCCAGCTTCTGCCAACCTAGCAGTTCAAAAACATGCAAATGAGAAGTAGAGCAATAGGTACCGCTCGGGCGGGAAGATAATGGCAGTCCATGCAGTCATACTGGCCACATGACCTAGGAGGTGTCTATGGACAATGCCGGCTCTTCAGCTTAGAAATGGAGATGAGCACCAACCCCCAGAGTCAGACATGACTGGACTTAATGTCAGGAGATTTACATAGTGTTATAGAAGAATTCTGAATCACTAATTTTTTATTTCCTTATGTTTTGTTTGTAAATAATCATATGAAGTATTACTTAGCTGAGTTTGCATCATACATCCCACAGTGTGTTTTTAAATAGAAAGCTCTTTTTCCCCCTTTTTAAAGCAAAGCAACCCAAAACATCCAGTCAGTTTTCTTACCACAGTTTTAAATGACTACTCAGATCTCCATATATGCTATAAATCCGATTTTTACCACTGCAAGACAATCAGTTCCTTCTCTTAATGGAATGGCATGTGAACCATTTGTCAGATGATGCTGTTGAAGTGCTAATGAGTTGTGTGTATTTTTTCAACCTTCTGTTCAGGATACATGACGAGGGCTGTGTTCTCTTGAAGCAATCCTCTTGCTTCTTCCCAAACTGGAAAAACCCTTGGAAGTTGGGATTAGCTGAAATGGATCGCTATAGATATTTCATCTTCAACCAGAAAAGCATGGTTGTTCTGGGACTTTTACAAATAGCTTGTGCTGCAATTTGCGTTGCCAGCGGAATAATCGATAGTGGACACAGAAGGGAATCAGCACTGAGTAAATCTAAGATACCCATCTGGGCTGGAATGGTAAGCTATTTTACCCTCATTTTCTTTATATTAGATACAGACAGAAAAATCTGAATTTTTCATTTCCCCCCTGCTTTCTGTTGCAGAAAGCTTGCCATTCCTTACTCCATAAGGGAGCATATATATTGCAAGGTGTATAGCTGAATGAACTTTTGTGATTGATGAGCTCAGCTGCAGTCCTAAAGAGATACAATTCATACCCTGAAAATGTGACTGGTTTGGACTACAATATCCAGAATCCTCTAGCCAGCATTGTCAGGGATATGGGATTTTGGAAGTTGTAATTGAAAAAAGTAACTCTGTTAATCTTTGGCTGTAATACTTTCACTTGTTGGATGGAATAACTTCTTTCAGTTTGCAAGAGCAGAAGAAGATCCAGTTTTTCAGGACAAATTAGCTTACCTAAAATGAACTATTCTAATTATGTTACTAGTTTATACTACTAATAGTATTAGTTCTACAACTACAACTCCCAAAATCAAGGTCAATTCCCACAAACCCCTGCAGTATGTTCATGGGGTTTCTCTGTGCCAAGCGTGGTCCTGTTCCATTGTCGGTGGGGGTCACAGTTTCTCTGAAAATATAAAACAACTAGATCTGAATGATGCATTGGAACAGGCAATTTTAGTTGTGAATTAAGTAATTTATTGTCAGCATTTCAACTTTTTTCTTCCTTTAGACCAATGTTTCTCAGCCTGGGGATCAGGACCACTGGGAGGGTCGTGAGGGGGTGTCAAAGGGGTCACCAAAGACCATCAGAAAACACAGTCTTTTTTGTTGGTCATGGGGGTTCTGTATGGGAAGTTTGGCCCAATCCTATCATTGGTGGGGTTCAAAATGCTCTTTGGTGAACTATAAATCCCAGCAACTACAACTCCCAAATGTCAAATCTATTTTCCCCAAATTCCACTAGTGTTCACATTTGGGTATATTGAGTATTTGTGCCATATTTGGTCCAGATCCATCATTGTTTGAGTCCACAGTGCTCTCTGGATATAGGTGAACTACAACTCGAAAACCCAAGGTCAATGCTTACCAAACCTTTCCAGTATTTTCTATTGGTCATGGGAGTTCTGTTTGCCAAGTTGGTTCAATTCCATCATTGGTGGAGTTCAGAATGTTCTTTGATTGTAGGTGAACTATAAATCCCAGCAACTGCAACTCCCAAATGACAAAATCAAAATTCAAATTTGGGCATATTGCGTATTTGTGCCAAATTTGGTCCAGTAAAAGAAAATACATCCTGCATATCAGATATTTACATTATGATTCATAACAGTAGCAAAATGACAGTCCTGTTCGGGGTCAACACAGCATGAAGAACTGTATTAAGAGGTCGCAGCATTAGAAAGATTGAGAACCACTTCTTTAGACCCTATCTAATAATATTGGGAATGAAGCATTTGATAGCTGATTTAACTTAGATTTTGAAAATTATATCACCCAAATAGCTAAACTACACAATTTATACATTTAAATATGTGCCTGTGTTGTATGTTGAGTTATTTTATCCCTGACAACATTAATATCATTATGTATCAATTAATTTTCCACAAAAAAAATGTGTATTTGTGCCAATAGCCAAAAATATTGATTTCAGATGTCATAACTAGCAGCATAATATTATCCTCTCTAATTTCAAAATGCTTTTTCTTGAAAGAAGTAAACCTTATAGTGAAACGAATCCTTGCTTGCTTGCTTACTATTTGCACTTTGTAGACTTGTTTGTTTGTTTTGTATCAGGAATGACTTGAGAAACTGCAAATCGCTTCTTGTGTGAGAGAATTGGTGGTCTGCCAAGGACATTGCCCAGGGGACTCCCAGATGTTTGATGTTTTACTGTCCTTGTGAGAGGCTTTTCTCACGTCCCCACATAGGGAGCTGGAGCTGACAGAGGGAGCTCAACCCGCTCTCCCTGGTCGGCAGTCCTGCCAGCACAAGGGGTTAACCCATTGTGTCACCTGGTGTGCCTTATTGTAAAACTGGTTGCCCGGAGTGGAAACACTTAAGAAAGTGCAGCTGCTATTCAACCATTTTAAGAGTGCAGCAGAGAAATGTCGCATAAACACTATTATGATGACTGGTGGTTGTACAGTTTAGGGCCCAGAGTTGCTTCATAGTACCACATACCATAAAACACCTTGATAAGTTTGGATCATTACAACACCAAAGAACCCGACAGCTTTTTCTGTGCTAAGCTTAATCATGGTGTATTACATACGTTTTGAAAATAATCCTATTTCTATTCTGCAGTTCATGAGTATTCCTGGAGTTATGGCTTTGTTTTCTTCCCAGAAGAAGAATCCCGTTCTGGTATGTTTCTGTTTCGCTTTGGCAGTTTGTTTAAAGGATTTCATATTTACCTCCCTTTAAGCCAGAGGTGAGGAAATTCTAGAAATTTGGGCTTAGTGGGCTTTCCCAGTCCTTGTGAAATAAGATTTCTACTCCATCTATATCTAAACCTAAATTTGTGGTATTGTAAAATTTAGAACTTGGCCTTTCTTTTTTAAAAAGTAACATGTCAGAGCAAGTATGCAAGGGACAAAGAGACAGTGATGCTTTTGAGAATAACTTAGGCAAATATCCTGTAGCAGGAAATGTAGCTACAGTGACACAGAGCTCTGTCGGCATTTATTTCGTGTCAAAAACATTGCATAAATCAGTATAAAACTGATAAAATAGAGGGAACACAAGCAGCTAAATAACTTTAGACCAAAAACAGGCAACAGCGACTGCATTGTCTGTAGCTTTAAACGGTTCTTCCTCTGTGCATGAGGCAGGGCATTGTGGGCAAGCATACAGGTGCAGAGTTGTTTGTTCTGCTCCACAGTTGCACAAGGTGGAGGATTCTTCTAGGTCAGGTATGGGCAAATCCAGGCCTCTTGGGTTCTTTTCTCAGGACCTCCTCTCTCTCACCATCCTATCCTTCCTTCCTTCCTTCCTTCCTTCCTTCCTTCCTTCCTTCCTTCCTTCCTTCCTTCCTTCCTTCTCTCTTTCCTTCCTTCTTTCTTCCCTCTTTCTCCTTTCTTTCCACTCTCCTATCCCTTCCTTCCTCTCTTTCCTTCCTCCCTCCCTTTCTTCCTTCCCTCTCTCTTTATTCCTCCTTCCTTCCCTTTCATCCTTTTGTCCTTCCTTCTTTCCCTCTTTCTACTTCCTTCCTTCCTTTTTGTCTTTCCTTCCTTCTCTCTTTCCTTCCTCCCCTCCCTCTTTCTCCTCCTTCCATTCCCTTCTACCCTTTAATCCTTCCTTCCTTCCTTCTTTCATTCCTTCCATCCATCTATCCATCCATCCATCCCTTCTACCCTTTTGTCTTTCCCTCCCTTTTGTCTCTCCTTTCCTCTATCCTTCCCTTCCACCTTTTCCTCCTTCCCTCCTTCCTTCCTTGACTCTTTCCTCCCTCTCTCCCTATTTCTCCTTCCTTCCCCTTTGTCTTTCCTTCTCTCTTTCCTTTATCCTTCCCTTCCTTCCTTTCTTTCTTCCTCCCTTTCTTCTTTCTTTCCTTCCTCCTCCTTTTCCTTCCTTCCATCCTTCCCTTCCACCCTTTCATACTTCCTTCCCTGCTGTCTTTCCTTCCTTACCTCTATCCTCCCTCCTTCCCTCTCTCCCTCTTTCTCCTTCCATCCTTCCCTTTCTCCCTTTCATCCTTCCTTCTCTCTTTCCTTTCTCCCTTCCATTGACACATATCAGCTTATTTTCACTGTTTAGTTTGATGTACACATTGATTCATTGGTTCATATTCAAGTTTGTCTGTTCTGTCCCTTTGCCTTTTGTAAAGGTGTATGCAATGATGGTTGCTTCTGCATTTTCCTGTTTCACAACTCTCATCGTAATCATCTATGCCTCAATGACATTAGAGTATGGTGAAAGATATAAGGGCTTAGATGTTGTGCCCTCCAATCATCCAGCTGTAAGTATTCACTCTGAGTTTATTTTATGAAAACATTGGTCACTGTTTAGGAGATTATAGCACTATACTGGGGATATTGTGGTTTAATGTATGTTTTGTCAATTTTGGAACCTGGGATATGGAATCAAATGGTGTAAATATGAAAGTGACCATACACTAGTTAAAAATAATGTAGATTAAATTTTAAAATATATGATTCTGAGTTAAAGGAGAGTGTAAAAAGTAAAACATATGACTTGAGGTACTGCGAGCCAGCTAATAGATAATATGACAATTAAAATAGATTCAGCACATCTGAAAAGTATAAACACACTGTAAAATAAAGAAGAACTAAGAAATTAGGACACCCTGGTGGCACAGTGGGTTAAACCAGTAAGCTCCTGAATTTGCTAACCAAAAGGTTGGCGGTTTGAATCCGGGGAGCAGGGTGAGCTCCCGCTGTTAAGCCCAGCTTCTGCCAACCTAGCAGTTCAAAAACATGCCTTTTAAAAGTTTTTAGAGCTCGTTTTAATGGATTTAAAAATGTTTTATCTTTGCATCATTTGAATTGCTTTTATTTGTCCTTCATCTCAAGAAGTAGGAGCCGTGTTGGTGCAATGGGTTAAACCCTTGTGCCAGCTGAACTGCGTGCAGATGGAGACGGGGTACAAAAATAAAGTTGTTGTTGTTGTTGTCAGTATTTTTGTTTCCTACATGAACGAGAAACTGTTCAGAATGCCATTATCATAAGCATGCTTTTACAAATGTTTTTCAGATCAACTTTTAATATGAAAATCTGTCAATTATGACTGTTTAGGATACAAACCAAATGAGTACTTTCAAATGAAACCAGTGTAGCCAATTAAGATTTACATTCAAATTATAGTTACCAGAAGATGGGGAGAGGGAATTATTGTGGAGCCTACATAACACCATCATCCTTTGTCATAGTTAGGGTGAGAAATAGTGTCATAACTATGTTGTCATTATATTGTTCTGTCCTGCAGTCAGTTTATAAGACCTTTTAGAGTTCATTTCCAGACAAAGAGCAGGCAGTCAGATCAGTCTGAAAAGTTTGGTGAAAACATAGAAGGAATATTTATTTTCAAAATGTGGTAACTGTGAAAACTTTCACTCTAACAGTTTAATTCATTTTACATTGATGAATTATGCATACATACTTCCTGTTGCAGGCATTTGTGCTTGATAAACTTGTGGAAGGAGCCAACATCACACTCCTAATTGCATCTATTGCGAGTGCCTTTATTGTGCTAATAATTGCCTATCTTAGTAGCCGAAGCCTTCCAGGTTGTTCCTGCTATGACAGCGTCACTGGATTTGTAAGTAGCATCATCATCCTGAATAACTGTAGTGTATTCATATAAAAAATCATAGGCATTCCCACAATGTAAGCTGTGGTGGGTTTTCCAAGAAGTTGTGTGAGAAAGATATCAGCATTGTGATATAGATCCATGATTCCATGTGTTGTCGAAGGCTTTCGTGGCAGGAATCACTGGGTTACTGTGGGTTTTTCCGGGTTGTATGACCATGTTCTAGAAGCATTCTCTTCTGAGATTTCACCTGCATCTATGGCAGGCATCCTCAGAGGTTGTGAGGTCTGTTGGAAACTAGGCAAGTGAGGTTTATATATCTGTGGAATGTCCAGGGTGGGAGAAAGAAGTCTTGTGTTTGAGGCAACTGTGAATATAGAATCATATAATCCTAGAGTTGGAAGAGACCTTGTGGGCCATCCAGTCCAACCCCCCCCCCCCCCCCCACCACCAACCCTCTACCAAGAAGCAGGAAAATTGCATTTAAAGCACCCCCAACAGATGGCCATCCAGCCTCTGTTTAAAAGCCTCCATAGAAGGAGCCTCCACCACACTCCTGGGTAGAGAGTTCCACTGCAATTGGCCACCCTGAATAGCACTGAATGACCTTGCAAGCTTCAAAGCTTAGCTAGTTGCTGCCTGGGGGATCTTTTGTAAGGAGGTGTTAGTTGGCCCTGATTGATTCTTATCTGGAATTCCCTGTTTTTTTAAGTGCTGCTCTTTATTTATTGTCCCAATAGAGTTTTTTAAATACTGGTAGCCAGATCTTGTTCATTTTCCTTCCTTCTGTTGAAATTGTCCACATGCTTGTGGATTTCATAGGCTTCTCTTTATAATCTGACATGGTAGTTTTTAGAGTGGTCCACATTTCTGTGTTCTCAAAAAACACAGAAAGCCTTTGACAACACTTCGAGAAATGTCTTTGTAATGGATAAAACCTGTTTTAGTTTTCTCATCCTTCTTTTTGCAGGAGTGGCTACATTCTAATGAAGACCATCTACAAACTTCAGAATTAGCTTTCATTTCATCTGGTATGTAGGCACTCTCTCTTTTTTTAATATCATTGCTGGTGTTGCTTAAGGGGCTCTGACTTATGGCGCTCTGACTTATGGGGACGCATAGAGGTTTTTCTTAGGGGTCATAGGGGTTTTTTCCACAAAATTTAAGGTTTTCCTTTGAGGCTGAGAGAGTGCGACTTGCAAAGTTCACTCAGTTGGTTTCTATGGCTGAACAGGGTCCTGGTCCAATGCTCACTACATCACACTGGCTTTTTATTTTCTGGAGTTTCTATTTTTGCAGTTCAAATCATGAATATGTAAGGGATTTAGGGTCAGTGACTTAAGATCATCACCCACATGCACCTTTATATTTCTTTCTGTTCTGTTCTAGGTCAAACAGATCGGATTTTTATTTCTCCAGTAAAACTTTCAGATGTAAATGTGGAAGAAGATGATGACATTTCTAAACCTCCTCCCTATATCCGATTCCCTTAAAAGATCTACAAGAATATGTTTAAGAGACTCTTGATAACTTAAGAGCGCATCTTTGAAATTCGGTGAAGTTCTTCCAGTGATAACTGACAGCCTACAGGCATCCTTGAACAGAGGATTGTAAATTCAAGAATAGTGACCTGTTTAGCTAAGACATTTTGTCATATTGTCCTATATATGTTAACTTAATCCCCCAACTTTTTTATATGAGAATTGTTGTATCATTGTCATTATAAATAAACTGTAACAACAATGGTAATAGCAGTAAGCACCCTGAGTAAGACATAGGGATCTCTACACAGGAAAATATTTTGTGACAAATTTGTGAACATCCTGCGGCTCTTCCATGATGACATGATGGCAACACTCTTGGACAGCAGTGGCTCCCAAAGTGACCCATTTAAGGTGGGATCAGGTGTCAAACAGGGATGTGTTATTGCCCCAACCTTATTTTCCATCTTCATTACTATGATACTTCATCTTGTTGATGGGAAGCTTCCACTAGAGTGGAAATCATCCATCGGACAGATGGCAAGCTACTTAACCTCAGCAGACTGAAAGCCAAAATCAAGTTTACAACAACATCTGTTATAGAACTCCAATATGCTGATGACAATGTCATTGGTGCGCATTCAGAAGAAGACCTACAAGCCACTCTAAACACCTTTGCAGAAGCATATGAGAAGCTCGGCCTGTCATTGAACATCGAGAAAACCAAAGTGCTGTTCCAGCAGTCACCAGCCAACCCCTCTCCAATGCCAGAGATACAGCTTAATGGTGTAACATTTCCGCTACCTTGACAGCCACCTCTCCACAACAGTCAACATTGACACTGAAATCCAACACCCCCTGAGCTCTGTGAATGCAGCATTTTTCCGAATGAAGCACAGAGTCTTTGAGACCGGGACATCCGTAGGGATACCAAAGTGATTGTTTATAAAGCTATTGTCCTTCCAACCCTGCTATACGCCTGCGAGACGTGGACTGTCTAAAAACATAACACTCAACTCCTGGAACAATTCCATCAGTCTTGCCTCCGAAAAATCCTGCAAATCTCTTGGGAAGACAGGCAGACAAATGTCAGCATGTTGGAAGAAGCAAAGACCACCATAAACTCTGCTGGGCTTGCCACATTGTCCAAATGTCTGACCACCGTCTCCCAAAGCAGTTGCTCTACTCTGAACTCAAGAACGAACTCAAGCCAACCTTAAAAACTGGCATAGACATCGAGAACTGGGAAGTCCTGGCCCTTGAGCGCTCTAGCTGGAGGTCAGCTGTGACCAGCAGTGCTGAGGAATTTGAAGAGGCACGAATGAAGGGTGAACGAGAGAAACGTGCCAAGAGGAAGGCACATCAAGCCAACCCTGACCGGGACCGCCTTCCACACTGGAAACCGATGCCCTTACTGTGGGAGAACAAGCAGGTCAAGAATAGGGCTCCACAGTCACCTATGGACCCATTGCCAGTACACCAGACTTGGAGGACAATCTTACTCGGACAACGAGGGTTTGCCTAAGTAAGTAATCAGGAAAATATTTTTGTATGTTTCTTTTATTTTTTGGAATTATGGATACAAGTTATTCTTGTGCAATTGCTGATTTTACTATCAGTACAGAAAGAAGAAAACAGTGTATAGTTTGACTATTAGCTGACGGTATCTCTCGCTTCTCACATGTCATAGTCTCTAATTATCCACATTAGCACCTATGTGCCTAATACGAAAATAGAGTGACTGCTTCAGGGAGTTATTATCATAATAAATTCTCAATTTAGCTAAAGAAATTCACTAAAAAGTACATAATTTTGACAACTATTTCTTTTCTAGAGCTTCATTTTTAAAAGAGATAGACAAAATAGACAAGGATTTTTAAAAGCCATATCTGTGGTTAGTTGGTTCAAATAAAGTAGTTTAGATAAACGGGGCAAACCTGTAATTTTTTTGTAACATAAAATGCTAAATATCTCACATAATTTGTATGGACATGTAAATGAATTTATGTTTGCATTAACATTTATGAGGGTGGAGAGAGAGGGAGAGACTATTTAATTGCTTACTATCACCCCAGTGTCCTTCTACAACAGTGGTTCACAACCTGTGGTCCATGTACCACAAGTGGTCCGCAAGAACTAAAATATCCATGGCCTAACTGTTACTACACCGTTACTACAAGAGCGACTGGTCTAAAAAAAAAACAAACCCCTCTTACAGTGCTGAGGCTTCTTAAATATGGTTTTATGTGAGCGAGCATATGGTGACGACCGAATGGCATATGTTTTGTATCAGAGACTAGAGTTGGTGTGTACTATCCAATTGACTGTTTGATGTGGTCTATCCAATGCAATTTTCTGAATCAGCACCCCAAATAACCAAACTGAATCTGAAGTTTACCAAAATCTGATTTGTAACCCTTTTGGAAAGTGGTCCCTGGTCAAGTGGTCCTTGGTTTAAAAAAAAAAAAAAGATTGGGAACCACTATTTTTCAAGGATACAACTCCCTTCCCTGGATTTTACAAGACACTCAAAAGGGAATGTGGTAGTGGAATGAGAGGAAAGAGGATCACATATCAATCAGGGCAATCAGATAGTTATTGACCACATTTTTGTCCCCTAGTAGAAGAAAAGGGTCACGTTTCCTTATAAAACCTCTGATCCTGACAAAAAGCTTGTGCCTGGAGCTCCCCATTTAACCTGGGATTTGGAAAGTATGGTCCCAAACATCTTCTAATCTTCCCACCCTCTACTCTAGGTAAAGGTTTCCCTTGACATTAAGTCTAGTCATGTCCGACTCTGGGGGGTGGTACTCAGCACCATTTCTTAGCCGAAGAGCTGGTGTTGTCCATAGACACCTCCTAGGTCATGTGGCCAGCATGACTGCATGGAGCGCTGTTACCTTACCACAGAAGTATCTATTGATCTACTCATATTTGCATGTTTTCGAACTACTAGGTGGGCAGAAGCTGAGCCTAATAGCGGGAAATTTCTGCTCCTTGAATTGGAACCACCGACCTTTTGGTCAGTAAATTTAGCAGCTCAGCGGTCTAGATTTAACCCAAAATTGAGCAACTCCCCTTGTTCATCAGTGTTCCTGGAGTGAGAGTTTATATTGTAAACTATTAACTGTTCAAACACACACACACTGAAAAAGGGTAAAGGCAAAATTTGGTCCTTGGGTCACCATTGCCATCCTAATCTATTGCTGAGTGACAGCTAGAAATTAAATATTTATTTATGGATGGAATTTCCCAACATTGAAGAGGGGACTTGGACCTGTTCAATTCAGGCTATCACTAAGCTGGAATATAGACAGGATACTCACAGTTGCTGCATCAATCCACGACTGAGGTTTTCTCTATCAATGACTTCTTACCTCTGCAGAAAATGTTGTATTTTGATAGTGTCTACTGTTGCACACCTCCCACATTATTATACTTGAGGGATAATAAAACAAAAACTCCACAGCAATGTTTTCCAAATACTTTTATGTAGCACATTTATGCTACATAATTCATTTTATGGACTGGTAAGACTTTCTTACCTTGATTACACTTGACAGGTCCACAGAAAGGAATGCAGCCTCCCCTGAATTCTTGAGCTGCCAATATTTATTTATTGGTTTATTTACAGTATTTATATTCTGCCCTTTTTATCTCAATGGGGGCTCAGGGTGGATCACAATGCATACATACATGGCAAAGATTCAATGCCGTTTTTAGACATACAAGACAGACAGACAGGCATTTTGGCATTTTCCAATTCGAGGCCTAAAGGTTATGCTTGATTCCGGCTATGGGGGGTGCTGTCGCTTCATCCACTGTGATGCTGAGCCCTTTTTGATCTTAGTATTTCCTCCTTGTTCTTTGATCGCCAGCATTTTTATGGTGCTGTAAAATACCTCCCTGCCTAATTTCTCACAGCTCAGTTGTTTTTGAACTGCTTAGGTGGACAGTAAGCTAGGCATAACAGGCGGGTGCTCAATCTGACTCGACTTCGAACTTGTCACCTTCTGTTCGACAATGATCTTTTACTGCTGGTGATTAACTAGCTGTGCTACAATCATTCATATCAAGTTTTAATGGAGGAAAAAAGATGACAACAACAATTTTATATGGCTAGTATTTATTACTTCAAGACAGTGGCACATTGTGATCATTTTGAAACATACAAAAAATCCTTCATTTTGTTTTGGAACAATAACAACAAAGACAACATTTTGGAGTAAAGCATTATTAAACTCAAAAACATCTGGATCAACAATACTCTGTATAACACTATCAAAATAATTGGTGATGAAAATATTAAAAGCTGAAAATATTATATGTCAGAATAATTATATTTCTAGTTTCAAATCAACCGTTGAAAATGTTCTTGTCACCAGGAACCAAGAAAGCCTTCGTATGTTGAATCCATGTGCCTTATTCTTCCATTGACTTCCCACCTGTATTTAGAGCTCTGTATTTTTGTGCTTGCTCTGAGATGATAAAATTTACAGACATGCATTGCCTTTATCTGCATTCAAATCGATCCTTTACATAAATAGATTAAGGATACAAAGTAAACAGTTAAATCCTCTAGAAAAGAATGTAAACCACGTTTTTAAAAATCATATTACCAAAAATCCTTTAAGACACTTAGCATAAAATAGGATTTTCCCTGGAAAATATGTAAACCAAAATGAAATTCACGTTTACAGCAGATTTTTTAAAATCCCTTTTCTCAAATGTTATACAAAAGCTAAAGAAAATGATGCCACAACTGCAGTGATAGAAGATTTCCCCCAAAAAAGAAAGAAAAAAGAAAAAGAGAAAGATTATCTAAAAATTTTGGAGACAATCCATTCACACTTTTCCCCATAGTTCAAGCATATTGTGTTCCCTGCATTTATGCTACTTAAGGTGCAATACATACATTTTTAAAACCTAAAATTTAGTTTTTTTTTTTTTTTACATTACCACCTGTAACAAGAATGCTTGTTTTTCTCTATGTTTGGCCATTAAACTTTTACCATAATGATAGAACACAATCTTGAAGGCAAACTAAAAACTTCATTTGATACTCAAATTTAGTTCTTCCAATAGCGGCATAGAGTGGATACAGAATAAACAAACTACATTTAGCATACTGTATTGTGAAGGCTTTCATGGCCGGAATCACTGGGCTGTTGTGTGTTTTCCAGGCTGCATGGCCATGTTCCCGAAGCATTCTCCCCTGGCGTTTCGCTTGCATCTATAGCAGGCATCCTCGGAACCTCTGAGGATGCCTGCCATAGATGCAGGCGAAGTGTCAGAAGAGAATGCTTCTGGAACATGGCCATATAGCCCGGAAAACACACAACAATCAAATTTAGCACACTGTTCTCAAAATCTTCACATAGAATACTGAAACTTTATTTCATTTGAATAAAATTCTATGGTGCAGTGGGATTCATGGCTTCTTTTCCCTTTCTGTGTAATCAAGAGGTTGTGTGCAGCCTAAGACAAAATGTAGAATCCAGAACACATGTAAAACACCAATTCCATCATTAAGAATGAGGATCAGAAAGATTGCAATAACCCCTTATTGGTATTGAAAGAAAAAAAATAAGACTAAGATCTCTGCAATACATTTATATTTTGGTAAATAATGTATAGCTAACTACTTGAACAGAGCCATAAAATCATGTATTAAAAATAATTTCCATTATTGGACAGCCCATTTTTAATATATTAACAAGTTACAACACAGCAGCCAGCTAGCACCAATTTTAGAAGATGCAGACTATTCATGTTAGCTACCTTTGTGAAAGGCAAGGCAGGATACAAACATGAAATGAAAATCTCCATTCTCATTCATGCAGGGGACAATGCATTTCTAAGACAGCACCAAGAGCAATTGATATACTGCATTGTCTGAAAGCAAAGAAAGTATATTCCTCTTTAAAACTACTGAAATTCTTCAGATGGATGCAGAATTAAGACAATGCAATATTTTTGAATTGAGTGTCTGCCATATTGAGCAAGAACTTACATAAAAGAGGCAGCATAACATTCACTTGCTGACAGTAAGCTGCTGGAAGGCCTTTATTTGGCCAGTCATGTCACTAATGCATGTTACACAATGAGTACAGGAGAGCTTATCCCTCCCTTGCATTTCCTATGAGTGGTAACATTCCTTCTAGTTGCAGGAAAGTTAAGATACAAGGCCAGGTATAATGGCAGAAATATATCCATGCAAAATCATCAAGCATCCCCTGTCATATAGTTGTCTATACTGCAAATAAATCTGAAGAGCCCTTTCAAGTGTTAGTAAAAACTTATTCACTTTTCTTATGGAACACAACTGCCTTCATATATGTCCTTCCCATATTTTAATAGCTAAGGCTGAAGAAGTAGAAATGTCATGACCCACTACAGATTGTATTGTCAAAGACTTTCATGACCGGAATAACTGGGCTGTTGTGAGTTTTCCGGGCTGTAAGGCCATGTTCCAGAAGCATTCTCCCCTGACATTTCACCTGCATTTATGGAAGGCATCTATGGAAGGTCCTCACAACCTCTGAGGTGCCATAGATGAAGGTGAAACATCAGGAGAGAATGCTTCTGGAACATGGCCATACAGACCAGAAAACTCACAACAACCCACTACAGATTCTTACATTGTTTTTGTTTCAAGCTCTTGCAAAAACACAATGTCGCAAGTTAACTTGGCTACTATTTGTTCTTCATATGCTGCTGTTCACACTTTTGCATTCACTGATCCTTCTATAGTGCAATAAACAATGTGATCCCAAATCCTACATTTGGACACACTCTAGGTTTGGAATCAAGATTAATGGTTTGGCTAGTTTGAAAGCTGTACAAAAGATATCTACTACAATGCTGTCACAAATCAACCAACATACTATACCAAGATACAGGTTAAGCTCCTCTTAACCTGCAGAATGTTTACATGGCCTAAATTCAACTTCACACTACTGCTTAATTGGTAGCACAGTGGAAATTCCTCTCCTGCCAACCCTAGAATTGGCTCCAAAGGGTTATCAGAATGTCAAAGCAGTTTTTCAGGTGCAAGAGAGGAAGGGTCCTGTGCAAAAGCTTTCGTTTCTTTCGCTGTTCCTCTCACAGCACTGAAGCAGTCCACTAGATTCCATGCAGTATCTATAAATATTCCAAAACTATGATGTAAATAACCCTTCTCCTTCATCCTGCTGACTTCAACATTCACCGCATAGCAAGTGAACCCAAAGGCTCAGTGGATGACAAATTAGGTTACACACTGATCTGTCCTCTTAAGGAACTTTTAAAGATATAGGCACACATTCAACAGCAATGTTTTGTAATCCTATTGATGAGCACATCTCTGAAGCATCACCATTACTGAACAGATAGAATTCCCATGGCTACAGCAGCAACATATATTAACATACCTAATTTTAATGTTATTTCCAATAATCCAGTACATTTGCATGATGTTCATCTTGGAAAAAACACTATTTGAGTTAAATAATGTTTGAATAATCTTATATTCCCTCAATATGTTCCTATCCCTTGTTGTCTTGTATCTAAAGAAGAGAGCAAAGCTATGAAAATATGCCACAGAGGTAAGAAAAGCACAACTTAAGGCAGAAAAACATACTATGTCAATTATCACTTGTGTAATTAATGACTCTGCAGAATGTGGGATAAGATAGATAGATGGCAGGCAAGTTGCACTACTATTTAGTATTCATGTTGAGTCTTTCTTCTATTGCATGATTAAGATATGATAAATATGTGTAGATTTCATACATTTATCAAAGAAATTAGATTACAATTTCATACTAGTCTTTGGATTTCTACAGAAAGAGGGTATGCTCAATTGAACACTAAAGGCATCCGTGATTTGACCTAATACGCATATCTATCTTTTTATTTAGTGAAGTGGAGGGTCTCAAAACTATGCTTTCTTAAAGGAATCAGAGGTTAATCTTCACTTGAAAATCTACTTTTCAGCTGAACTTCAAGTCAGATGCTACCGTTTACAAAGTGCAAATATTAAGAGTGGAATACATTTATAAGTGAGGACATACAATAAAGTGCCCAGCAGATCCCACATAATTCCCTACTACACTTGGAACGTTATCGACACCACACTTCTATAGCACTGGCAAACATGGGGATGGCTGCAGAAGTATTGTGAGCTAACACCAACATGTTATGGCAGGCTTTGATGCAGGTTCTAAATGGACAGTGTTATCAGGTGGCTGACTCAGCATGAGTGGCTTATGGCTCTTGAGCTTATGAGCCAGTGTCATAAATATAGCTTCCACGTGATCATTGTCATTTGGATTTTTAGCAGACGTCTCAAAGAGTGGCATGCTATGAGTGTCGGCAAACTTCTGAGCCACATCCGTAGGCACCTGAATGGCGCTTCTCAGATCACATTTGTTTCCAACCAAAATCCGGGGTATATCATTGGCGAGTAAGTGTTGCTTGCACTCCTCGATCCACAACGGCAAACTATGAAAACTGGCCAGGTTTGTCATGTCATATACAAACACAACTGCATGTACATTCCTGTAGTAGTGCTGTACCATGCTTTTCCTGAATCGCTCCTGCCCTGCCGTATCCCAGAGCTGGATCTAGAGAGAGAAAAAAGACAAGATACAAAATTCATTTCTATTTAAGTAAAACAACACTTTTTCACAGTCATGACCTTTCTTCTCCTATGGATGGATGACACATAATTGTCATTTATGGAACAGGGGAAATTCCAATGCCACACATAAAAATGCCTATTTCCATAGGGAAGTTTCCTCTAAACTCCAAGGGCTAAAACTAATAAAGGAAACATAGCCTCAATTCTGTATCAGGGAGGTGCATTTCAGAATGCTTTCTGATGGATCAATACACACACACTTTGTTTCATGCACAAAATTATTTAAAATTGTGTATAAAGTGTATATGAAACAAAAAATACTTTTGTGTTTAGACTAGGGTCTCTTCTCCAGGATATCTTATTATGCACCTAGTTCCAAATATAAGCATTCCATAAATCCAATTTTTTTTTAAGATCCAAAATAATTCTGGTCAAAAGCGTTTTGGATAAGGGGTGCCCAAGCTGTAACAACGACAACACAATACAGGTAATCCCCAAGTTCCGAACAAGATCGGTTCTGTAGGTTTGTTTTGAAGTTGAATGTGCATGTAAGTTGGAACAGGTAAATGTTTAAGTGTAACTCTAGCAACACACACACACACACACATTTTCCACAATCCAGTTATCACAGGGACAGAAAGTGAGGTGAAATCTTCTAAAGAGGCATAGAAAGCAAATCAAACTCACAAAGGTGTTACTCCTTCCCTATGCTATCAAGACCTTAAGCTTTTGATAACATTTTGTGGGGGAAAAATGTGGCTTTTGTGGAAACAAGGTTTGGAGATAAAGCTTCGGCTGATACACCTTTTCCCGTAACTCTTTGAGGAGTAAATTTCCCTTCTGAGGGGTAGATTTCTCTTATATCCTGTTGTCTCACCACTGTTCTTAAATATGAGTTGTTTGTAAATTGGATATTGATAACTTGGGGTTTGCCTGCCTGTAGATATGTATGTGTATATGTGTGTGTATACACACACATACATGGAGCCAGTGTAGTGCAGTGGTTTGAGCACAGGACTATGACCCTGGAGGCCAAGGTTTGAGTCCCTACTCAGCCATGAAGCTTACTTATGGAAACTCATTGGGTGATCCTGGGCAAGTCGCACTATCTCAGCCTCAGCCTGTTTCCAACTTTGGTTGGAAACAGCTTGAAACCATGCAATAATAACAATCCCTGAATATGGTGCTTATCAAGGAAAAGAGGAACAGTCCCCTGCCCTTAAACTTCCTTTTAGGTTTGAAGAATGCTTTGTCTTTTTTGCTGTGTATCTCTTTGGAAGCTATGAGGGGAAGTAAAGCGAAAATCACATCATCTTAACTGAGTAAAAGGAAATGTTATTTATTTATTTATTTATTATTTCTATACCACTTTTTCCCTCTTAAAAGGGACTTGAAGCAGCTAACCATATTTAAATGTACAATTTCTACCCCAAAACAGATAGCTGTTAAAATAGAATTAAACATAGTGATGCTAAAAATAAATAGTAAAAACCATTAAACTCCCTCCCTAAAGAACTAAAAATGGCTCCCTCTCTCCTATCCTTTAAAAAGCTTTTGATTTGATGTTTTGCCAAAGGCTTTCATGGTCAGAATCACTGGTTTATTGCAGATTTTCCAGGCTGTATGGTCATGTTCCAGAAGCATTCTCTCTCCTAACCTTTCATCCAACATCCTCAGAAGTTGAGGAGTCTGTTGGAAACTAGGCAAATGAGGTTTATATATCTGTGGAATGTCCAAGGTGGAAGAACTCTTGTCTGTTTGAGGCAAGTGTGAATGTTGCAATTGGTTGTTTTTATATTGTAATATGATTTTGTTTGTTTTTGTTTTATTTTGCTTTATGTTGCTGTTTTATGAATTTTAAATGTGTTATTTTAACTGTTGATCAGGCTTGTCCCAATGTAAGCCACCCCGAGTCCCTCAGGGAGATGGAGGTGGGGTACAAAAAAAAGGTTGTTGTTATTATTATTATTGGCCACCTTGATTAGCATTTAAATCCTAACTGGTTGCTGCCTGGGGGACTCCTTTGTTGGGAGGTGTTAGCTAGCCTTGACTGATTCTTGTCTGCAATTCCCCTGCTTTTTGAGAATGGTTATTTATTTAGTCTCCTGATTATAGTGTTTTTTTAATACTAGTAACCAGATTTTGTTCATCTTCATGGTTTCCTCCTTTCTGTTGAAGTTGTCCACATACATGTGGATTTCAATGGCTTCTCTGTGTAATTTGACATGGTAGTTGTTAGAGTGGTCCAGCATTTCTGTGTTCTCAAATAATATGCTGTATCCAGGTTGGTTCATCAAGTGCTCTACTATGGCTGACTTTTCAGGTTGAAATAGGCTGCAGAGCCTTTCATTTGATTTGATTTGTTGTGATTAAGATCATCCGGGCAGGCCCTGCTCTTGGTCCCATCTCCTTCGCCTCCTTTTTTGGAATTGTATGTGTTTTAAAGCATTGAATAATTGCCTCTATGTAAGCTGCCTCAAGTCCCCTTCAGGGTAGAGAAAGGCGGAGTATAAATTGAGTAAATAAATCCATTTTTGTTTGTCATTTTTCTACCTGTTGGAAACCACCCTGAGTCTGCTCGGGAAAATAGGGCAGTTACAAATAAAGCATTTACACCTCCCAACAAAGGATTCCCCCAAGCAGGAAGCAGCCACGCTTTGAAGCTGCTAGGCCATTAAATGCTAAGCAAGGTGGCCAATTGCAACATTCACACCTGCCTCAAACAGACAAGAATCCCCCCCCCCCCACCGGACATTCCACAGATATATAAACCCCAGTTGCTTCGTTTCCAAAAGACCCATCAATCTCTGAGGATGCCTGCCATAGATGTGGGTGAAACGTCAGGAGAGAATGCTTCTAAAACAAGGCCATACAGCCCAGAAAACTCACAGCAAACCTATTATTATTATTATTATTATTATTATTATTATTATTATTATTATTATTAGAAACACAACAAGATGAGTCCACAGCAGACAAGATCACTTTTCTGGCTGTTGTATTGGATCACACATCTAACACTTCCCAAGTGTCTAGGCCTGTGTGATGTATTGGCGAATAATGCATGCAAGTCCCAGTAAGGGGGCCTTTTGCAGTTTGTTTTTTTTTTTTTGGTCGTGTCAGGAGCAACTTGAGAAACTGCAAGTCGCTTCTGGTGTGAGAGAATTGGCCGTCTGCAAAGACGTTTCCCAGGGGACACTCAAATGTTTTGATGTTTTACCATCCTTGTGGGAGGCTTTTCTCATGTCCCCGCATGAGGAGCTGGAGCTGATAGAGGGATCTCATCCGCACTCTCCCTGGATTCGAACCTGCGACCTGTCGGTCTTCAGTTCTGCTGGTACAGGAGTTTAACCGACTCTGCCACCGGGCTCCTTTCATGCAGCTGGCAGATGATAATTTTTTCAGCACCGTTTGTGTTTAAGTGCAGACCAAGGTTTTTAGGCACTGCACCCAGTGTGCCGATCACCACTGGTATCACCTTTACTGCCTTGTGCCAGAGTCTTTGGAATTATTATTATTACAATTATTATTATTTGCAATTATTATTATGTGTTTAAGTGCAGGCCAAGATCTTTAGGCACTGCACCCAGTGTGCTGATCACCACTGGTGCCACCTTTACTGGCTTGTGCCAGAGTCTTTGGAATTATTATTATTATTACAATTATTATTATTTGCAATTATTATTATGTGTTTAAGTGCAGGCCCAGGTCTTTAGGCACTGCACCCAGTGTGCTGATCACCACTGGTGCCACTTTTACTGGCTTGTGCCAGAGTCTTTGCAATTATTATTATTATTACAGTTATTATTATTTGCAATTATTATTATGTGTTTAAGTGCAGGCCAAGGTCTTTAGGCACTGCACCAGTGTGCCGATCACCACTGGTGCCACCTTTACTGGCTTGTGCCAGAGTCTTTGCAATTATTATTATTATTACAGTTATTATTATTTGCAATTATTATTATGTGTTTAAGTGCAGGCCAAGGTCTTTGACACTGCACCCAGTGTGCCAATCACCACTGGTGTCACCTTTACTGGCATGTGCCAGAGTCTTTACAATTATTATTATTATTATTTGCAATTATTATTATGTGTTTAAGTGCAGGCCAAGGTCTATAGGCACTGCACCAAGTGTGCTGATCACCACTGGTGTCACCTTTACTGGCATGTGCCAGAGTCTTTACAATTATTATTATTATTATTTGCAATTATTATTATGTGTTTAAGTCCAGGCCAAGGTCTTTACGCACTGCACCCAGTGTGCTGATCACCACTGGTGCCACCTTTACTGGCTTGTGCCAGAGTCTTTGCAATTATTATTATTATTATTATTATTATTATTATTACTTACAGCAACCCAATTCGGTTGCTGTAAGGTTTTCGGGCAGTATGGCCATTATTATTATTATTATTATTATTATTATTATTATTATTATAAATCTATTAAATAAAAAGGCATCACTGGCTACCAGAAAGGTCTCCCAGAAAGGCTGAGGGGGCACCCACACTGTAGAATTAATGCAGTTTGTGGGAGTTGTAGTTTGGTGAGGCCCCTGCACTCTTGAGAAGAGAAGGCTCGCAGTAGTTCTCAGCCTGTGGGTCCCCATATGTTTTGGCCTTCAACTCCTATTTCTAACTGGTTGGGATTTCTGTGAGTTGTAGGCCAAAACACCTGGGGACCCACAGGTTGAGAACCACTGGCTCAAGGGCTCGTGAAACTACGACTCCCATGGTTGCACAGCACCGAGCTGTGGCAGCTGAAGTGGTGTCAACGCGCAGATTCTCTTCCAAGTGTTTTGGACTTCAACTCCCAGAAGCCTCAGCTGCTTCGGCTAACGATGAGGGATTCTGGGAGTTGGAGTCCAAAAACACCTGGAAGGCCCGAGTGGCCTCTAGAGAGAGGCCTCCTGCTTTTACCTTGATTCGCTCCCCGTCGATGTCGACGGCGCGCTCGCGGAAGTCCACCCCGATGGTGGCCTCGGTGCGCTCCGGGAAGCGTCCGGCGCAGAAGCGGTACGTGAGGCACGTCTTCCCCACGTTCGAGTCCCCGATCACGATGATTTTGAAGATGCGGGACCGCGCCGGAGGGAGGAAGCCGGGGACGCCGCCGCCGCCTCCGCCGGGCAAGCTCAACTCCAGCGAAGACTCCACCTCAGCCGCGGCCATCGCGCGCTCATCCCCAGGACTTGTGCGCACGCGCAGCAGGAGCCCGCTTCGCGCGCGCCCTCCGCTTCCCGTGGCAGCCAATCAAAGTTGAGCCTCGCCTCCCACGCGCTTTTTTCCCCCTTTCCTTTTCGCGTACGTCGCGCGTCATTGAAGCCACGTCGTAAAGATTGCTCCGCCCCTTTCCTGGCAAGAACTAAACAGTACTAGCTAGAGTGACCTCATGTTTTTCTTCTCTTCTCCGGCGGTGGAGGCAGAAAACCTCGCGAGAAGTGAGAAGCGGGATCTTTTTGTATACAAGGCAACCAGTGGGGCACGAGATTTTGTTTTCAGATTCCAAGGACCAACTTAGCCAATCTAGGCATGGGGAAATTTGGGCCCTCCAGGTGTTTTGGACTTCAACTCCCACCATCCCTAACAGTCTCAGTCCCTTTCCTTTTCCCTCTCAACCTTTTCCCCTTTAAGTCCAAAACACCTGGAGGGCCCAAGTTGGCCCATGCCTGGTGTAGATGCACCTGCTGTATGGCCAAGTTAACTTGTAGATGGCTTCATATCTTTGCAAAGTATGCTTAGTTGCTGTAAGTTTTTCAGGCTCTATGGCCATGTTCCAGAAGCATTCTCTCCTGACATTTCGCCTGCATCTATTTCTTCGTTTCTGTTCATGCTTGTGGATTTCAACGGCTTCTCTTTGTAGTCTGACAAAAAAAAGTCTGACATGGAGCCCCCGGTGCCGCAGTAGGTTAAACCCCTGTGCCGGCAGGACTGAAGACCGACAGGTCGCAGGTTCGAATCCAGGGAGAGGTGGATGAGCTTCCTCTATCAGCTCCAGCTCATGCGGGGACATGAGAAACCTCCCACAAGGATGATAAAACATCAAATCATCCGGGCGTCCCCTGGGCAACGTCCTTGCAGACGGCCAATTCTCTCACAACAGAAGTGACTTAAGCTCCTGACACGACAAACAAAAAAAAGTAGTCTGACATGATAGTTGGTAGAGTTGACAGAAAGGAAGAAACCATGAAAATGAACAAAATCTGGCTACCAGTATTAAAAAACTCTAAAATCATAACAGTAAATAGGTGAGCTCCAGACAAGAAACAATCAGGAGGGACAGCTAATCACCTCTCAACAAAGGATGCCCCCAGGCAGTAAAAAGCCACACCTTGAAAACTGCTAGGCCATTAAATGCTAATCAAGGTGGCCAATGGAAACATTCACACCTACCTCCAACAGACAAGAGTTTTCTCCCACCTTGGACATTCCACAGATATATAAACCCCATGTTCATAGTTTGCAACCCAACTCACAACCTCTGAGGATGCCTGCCATAGATGCAGGCAAAACGTCAGGAGAGAATGCTTCTGGAACATGGCCATGGAGCCCGAAAAACTTACAGCAACCCAGTCATTCCGGCCATAAAAGCCGTCAACAACACAAAGTATGCTTAAGTTTCAACTCCGCGTTGGAATATACAATATGAGCCCCTCCTATCGAGGGAAGATAGGTTTCAAGACCCTTCATGGATACCTGAAACTACTGATAATAGCAAACCACAAATTTTGATTATACTTTGCCTGGAAACCTTCCATAAAATAGCACTAGAGGTTCAAGGGGTTGCCTTTGAAGACTGTTCGGAAACTTCAACTAGTCCAGCGGGAGGCAGCCAGAGTACTTACAGGAGCGTCATACAGGGAGCATACCACCCCCGTTGTGTCGGCTCCACTGGCTGCTGATCCAATTCCGAGCACAATTCAAAGTGCTGGTTTTGACCTACAAAACCCTATACAGTTCCGGCCCAGTGTATCTGTCCGAACGGATCTCCCTCTACGTCCCACCTCGGAGTCTAAGATCTTCTGGGGAGGCCCTGCTCTCGACCCCGCCTCTATCACAAGTGAGATTGGCGGGGACGAGGAGCAAGACCTTCTTGGTGGTGGCCCCCCCACCTGTGGAATTCACTCCCCGGGGAAATTAGATCAACGACATCCCTCCTTTCCTTTAGGAAAAAATTGAAAACATGGATTTGGGACCAGGCATTCGGACAATCTGGCAGATAAAGAAAGGACTTTGACGATGGACAGGAACTGACTAAGTGGAATGGAATTATGGAACTCTGAAAGACGAACGTTGAGCATGAGATTAGTTTTATTGATTGTGTTATATACCGATTGTTTTAACTGTGATAATTGTTTTAACTGTGTTTTGTACGTATGTGTATTTTGTGCAGGCATCAAATTGTGCCTTTTTGTAAGTTGACCCTGAATCCCCCCTCGGGGGTTGAGAAGGGCGGGGTAGAAGTACTCGAAATAAATAAATAAATAAATAAGGAAAAGTCCTAAAAAACCCTGGAAATGAATATTTTTGGAGTATTAAGTGAAAACTGTGGCTAGCATATCCACAGATAAGGGGCTCATGCTGTAATAAAATTGTCACAATATATATTAGCCAACAGGAAAAAAAATCTATCAATTCATTAAAATTAGAGTATAGATCACAGCTATGTATATTTCTTTCAGAGAGGTACATATGACAACACAGTACTTTTCTTTGAATTCTTATCACAGAAAGAGCAATAGTCTCTCTAAAAAGAGATGTACAGCAATAATAACCATAGTGTAAGCTTTCAGATTGGCAATTTTTTTAACCATTTTGTACACTAGCCTTTAGATCAGTGGTCTCCAACCTTTTTTTACCCAGGGATCACTTTTCCACCATTAGTAACAATACCACCAAAAGAGTTACGAATCAGTTTTTGGTCAACTTTAGATTCTGTTTGGTTATTTGGGGTGCTGATTCAGAAAATTGCACAGGATAGACCACATCAGCTCTAGTTTCTGATACAGAACATATGCCATTTAGAAGTCAACATCTGCTTGCCCACAGAAAACTGTATTTAATAAGCCTTGGCACTGTAAGAGGACTTTGTGAGACCAGTCACTCTCATTGCTACAGTGTAGTAATGCTGAGGTCGCGGACCATATTTTAGTTCTTGCGGACCACTCGTGGTCCATGGACCACAGCTTGGGAACCACTGCTTTAGTTCTTACTGTAAGTTCCCATGGAATTTGTAGTCCTCATAGATAGGTTGTGTTTTGTAGAGTTATCTACTATTAACTCTACAAGTCGATATTGCCAAGTTGCAAATTACTGTCCCTTGTGGTTAACTTTTATTGGAGAAAAAGGGCAGGAAGGGGAGTAGTGTCTCCAGCCACTGCTGCATTATGCATTGTGGCATTTCACCAACACTATGACTCTTTATACCCATTACTATATTGTCTTCCACTACATTTATCCTCTCGTGATAAGAGTTTTCGAATGCTACAATCACACAGCTCTTTTTCAAAACATTTTATTGCATTATATTTGGTACCTTATGTTTGACAAAGGAAATTACATCTTTAACTGCAGGAATAAGAAGCTGGTCTGTTATCGAAAAAAAATCTTGGGCCCGTTAAAAGTTACAAAGTCATGGGCTTGCCTGAAACAACTGAGCAAGAAATATATTCTTAGAAATGTAGGGCTTCAAGTATTACAAACCTGTGACACTGTGGAAAAGTTCCAGAGGTATCTAAACTGCAGCACTTTTTTTCTGCATAACGTGAACAAGGCCTGCCGAGGTTTTAAACAATTAAGTCTCTCGATCAGTCACAAATTGCTAGCCACGAGTTCCTCTTTGAAATTTCAAGCCGTAGCTTATGTTCATTCTGATTTTCACTGGATGTGAAAAATTCATGCTGTCTTTCTAAAGAGTTGGTGCCACATCACAGTGCATAATTTCATTTGATTCTTGCACTACAGTTTTAAAAGTTTCGGCCAAATGATGCTATCGTGCTCATCTCCTAAACAGCAATGTTGATTTCCGTCCAAATTTTAATTAAAACAAGAGGATGTTCTAACCCATTTCTTCATTTAAAAACTGTGGTGCAGGAACACCAAACTGATCATGTGCAGTGAATTTCGGAGACACAACAAGCTTATTGAACACCTTATGTTTTGTCATTTTGCTTCATACTTTTAAGTCCCAGTCTCTACAACAACATTATATATGTGTTGCAGGTTTGTTTGCAAATATTGATTCACATTGCATACTTCCAAAGGGTATCTCTGTATCAAAACCAGTCAGATGCTAAAGCCCCAACAACTCTTTGTGCTCAGTGAAAAGATCCAGTGCTAAAACAGCATTTTTGCTGTCTGAGATAGTCATCTCAACAAGACAAATTTAAAGTAATATTTCTGCCACACACCTGCTCCAATGGGTGCTGAGCCTTCAGATTCCATATAAATTAGCTTTAAAATGGGGTACGTAGAGAAGGAAATTTTTCAATTTTAGCAGTGCTTAGTTTTTTCTTTAACTGAGCCACCTATATCCAGTAATACGTTACTTTATATTATATACTTCGTCAGCAGGACAAAAAAAGTAAAACTTTGAAGGCAACCATTTTTACTCCTTCCATTCTCTGTGTAGTTAGAACAATCAGCAGGTGCGTGACAAAAATATTATACACCAGATACGGTCCAAAATCATTCCACTCCTTTAAAAAAAAAGTTCAGATTTCATTGGCCAGTTCTTCGGTTTCTGCAGATATATCTCCATTAACTGTGATCTTCATATCCTCTTCATATCCAGGGGGCATAAAAGCCAAAGCATAAGGGAAAAGCTTGTGACAATTTGCTCTGTACATTTCAGCGGCTTCTTTACAGTTTCCAAGGCTACCATCATTCAATGCTTCCAATACCTCCATACAAGTCTAAAAGAGAGAAAAAATAGTGTTACTCTTTTGAAGAAAAGTTGTTTCAATTGTTTACATTGCCAGTAGTTTGAAATTTTTACAGAAATAAACATCAATGCTTGTAGTCAGCAGAGTATACAGAATGGCTTTTATATACTTATTAAAGAATTAAATCAGTCATATGCGAAAGCCCCAGCTTAGTGAAAAGATATATAGTCAATTAAACCTAAGAATTCCAAGGTTTTCACACAAGAGACTGATTTGTAAAAGCAACACCAATTGCCAAGGGAATAAATAAATATG